AAATTAAAAAATAAAAGCCGATATACCCAAATAGCTTTTTTATGGTATAATATATAATATAATTAAAAATGTGCTTTTTCAGTTGGTATTCTTAGTTGAATGCAGACCATAGATGGAGTTAGCTTTACATTTTCTTACAATATATATAAATTATTTATATAAGATTGCAATTTAATTTATCGCGTTAAATTTTTTAAAGGATATTTTATTACGACGGAATTCTTAATACAATTAACATAAAATGTATGCTTACCAGTCACAGTATTGGATCGTTTTCCGAATATACTGCCATTGAAGGGTGGTTTTTTGTAGGCAGCATTTATGCTGAAGATTACCATAATAATAGCGAGAGCGAAAGTAAGACGGATGGAAACCATGCCGACGATTTGATTTGTTTCCAACTAATATAACAAAAAAAATAAAGGATTCTCATTAACAATTTATAATTCTGGAAATTTTTATAATTATTATATCACATATTATTTATTTATGTAGTGGTTTGTAGTGGTGTTATGTAGCGGATTTAATCATTATTGTTTTATAGTTGAGGATGAGCGATAATAAATTTCGGAAAGATTCTTAATGAATAAATGAAAAAGCTATATAAAATGAAAAAGCTTACTTGCAAACGAAGAAACTTGCTTGATTCTTAGACGATTGTTGGTCACTGAATGTTACAAACGAAGCAAAAGCTGCGAGCTTTTATACTCGAGGAAAAGACTCGAAGACAAATGTCTCTATCAAACGCAGTCAACCTACATTATTTGCAAGTAACGTCACGAGTTGGTCCAACAGAATATTGATTCGTCGTAAAATACAAAAATTTACGTAATATACGATGGTGATCAGTTTGTGCGGAAAAACATTATAAAAAGTCGCATATTAAAAACTTAGAAAATTTAAAACTTGTTGAAATCGAAAATATTTTTTGCGGTATCTGAATAGCTAGATTCATTTACGAATTTACATTCTTCTATGCAAATAGGAAATATATTATATGGAAATATAGAGAGAAGAGATATAATATAGATCTCAATAGCTATTACAATTAAAAATAACATGTCTATGATAATTTCACCTGAATAAATGAGTTGTATCCGAGAAGTGGATGGAACTTGACTGATGGAGCTTCGACGGCTGGCTTGGCTTTTATAAGAGGATGCTTGTGCTATAGAGATGCAGTGTGTGATATAAAAAAGATAATAAGCTATCAGAGAGTGTAATGTAATTGAGGAGCTTTCTGATTGCCTTTTACTTCAGGGAAATAAGGATTGTTTAGAGAGACTATGCATCGAAAACCGTAACAAAATTGATCATAGAATAGGATCAATATTTGTTCAACATTGTTTATTAAATAATTGTACTGAAATCATTGACTGCAAAATATATTACGTCTATATGTTACTAACAGATTTGAATTTCATTATCTTATTATGAGAAAATAACGTAAAGGTAACAATAAAATCACATTAGGTAATTATCTCATTAATATAATATTTTGTTGATTACATCGATTTTTTTATATATTTTAAAAAGATGTAATATATTCAGATGAAAAAAGAGTATAAAGTATTTCTCTTTTTATTGCATATTATTTAGCCGATTAGTCAAGAGTATGTTTTAAAATTATTTTTTATAATAAGATTATAAAAAATTATTGTTACAAGTTACAATAATTAAATGAATGTTTATTCCTACTTAAAAATATTACCAACAATTGCTATTTTTTAAAATAGTATATATCTATTGCAGCTATATTTTCTTTGAATGCTTACATTACTATCCGTTGATAAGAGATTTTGCTATATTTTCAATGAACGGTATACGATATAAAACGATATCTCTCGAACGTTGATAATATTGTGCAAATTTATTGTATTATATATATCATTATTTTCATAAAATATTTTACTTTTTATTAACAAAGTAATAATATTAAAATAATAGGATTTTTCAAATTTTTATTGCAACAAATATTGTTTTTATTATATACTTTATTTATGTGTGACAAAGCATCAAGTATTCATTAAATCTTTTCATCTCATATGTGTGTACATAATTTACACTCTTATAAATAGTATAAATACAATTAGTAAGATTATGATTTAAAAAGAGCTAAACTCTGTCTAAATCAGTATATTAACAACTTTTTACATATCTTATATTTTGCCTTTAAATCTTTTTTAATTATTAAACTATATTCTTCGTATTACTATATATAAAAAGCGATTAATTTTTATGAGTTTTGTATGTTTAGTGCATATATGTAAATGTGAAATTTGATATTCTTCTCATATGTCTCTGTTTTATATTATTTTAATATGGATATATATTTATAATAATATAAGTGATATTTATGTACATATGTATATAATTAAATGATTATATAAATATTATATAAATATATAATTAAATAATTATATTAATATAATTTACATATTACAGCAAGAGAATAAATATAAAGCTTATTATATAGCCAAATTTTAATCACGCTCTCAATGATCGATCGGCTTTACGCGTGCCCACGTGCGGAGATACATATATATTTACTGTATATATACACATATATACACATTTTTTAATGATATTATAATTGTAACATTTTCTCTAGGCACTCAATAAGTATTATGTTATTAAAAAATCCGCAGAATCTCTCTCTCTCTCTCAACGAAGAATGTGAATACATTTATATCGATGGATAATCGAGAGCGTGATACGATTGAAAAAACATCGTACAGGCATACTAAAATCTATGTCTTATTGTCATGTCACAACTTTTTCTTTCGGCATAATATAAACAAACACGTCGTCGATTAATCGCTGTACAATTGACCTTGTTTCCCGCGATTGATAGCTGTTCGATTAGAGGAAACTAAAGATGATCGACGACGTATTCGTGTCGGCTATCATGCCAATACTTATTACACTAAACAATGAATAATTATCTAATCAACGAATGTTATATTTTATATCGTTTTCTGCTTATAATATAATATCATATAAAGCGGTTACTGTGCCGCCAAATATTGTTTCGACTACAAAAATGGAAGACGTGGATTTTGTTTCGTCGTTCATATATACTTATTAAATATATTTTATTCTTGTATAAAAGCAATTGTTTTTGCTTAAGCAGACTACATTTAGCGCGACAATGCACGTTGCATATCGTGCGCGCATATAAGTAGATTTTATTGCATAATACACATATCACACATTAATGTTCTGTTCACACGTCGCAAGAATCTCTCGACTAGATTGTATTAACATAAATGTAATTAATCTAATTACTTAAAAACAAAGAGCAATTTTATATTTATATAATAAACCTTCATAAAACTATTAAGTCTTTAATGCGCGCTTGTTATATATATTCTTTAAATATTCTTTATTACTTATAAAAATCATCTATTCAAAGATGTTCTTCAAAGATTACTATATAAAATGTAAAATATATACTTTTTTGTTTAGAATATATATATAATGTAATAAAAATGTAATGTGTTTTAATGTGATAAAAGATGTAATGTCATAAAAACGTAATATTTTTCTGGAATGCAATTATATTATATTACTCATTATTAATCATTCATTAACATACTATAATAATAATTTAAACATATAAAAAAAATATAAATAAAATTTTTTTAATTACATATTTATAACGCTTTTTCTAATATGAATATATTTCTTTGGAAAAATACATTTTATCTGAAAACAAATCCGAGAATTGTGTCGAGACTGATAACGATGAAAATCTGATTGTTTTTTCGATCGGGGCAAAATATAATGCGAATCGTGTGAACTGAACCTTGTGTAGAATTCTTAAGCCTAAAGCGATTACATCCATGTTAGACAGTAAGCGAAATCTTATCTTTCATATTATAATTATTAATTAAACAATTTTTTCGCAATTATAGTTTATATATTAATAACATATTGAGTGCTGTGTAGCACAATTTATTATTTTGAATGTTATGTACTGTATAATTTATTTTACTCTCTCTTATGTTTCTAATAGATATTTTTTATTTTGATTTTATCAAAATTAATTATATGCATGTAATAGTAAAAATATAAATACATATAAATACATATAAAAATATAAATCCATATTAAAAATAAAAAAAGTATAAATCCTATATATAAAAAGCAAAACGAATATAGAAGATATGTATGTAGTAGATAGCAAATCTCTTTATTTTACAAAAACAAAATAATTACCAATTATAGTTGACGTTGTGATTATTGTTATATAGCGCTATCGAATAAGATTGTTGTTAAGATTTAATAACAAATTATGCAACTCTTAAAATTACGCATACTATAAAATATTACAATTATTAAATAATAATTTTTTTAAATTTATGTAGCTTATCAAAATTCCTTATAAATATTGAGTCATCAGGAGAGAACTCAATTTAAATAACAAAAGAATTGTACATGCTTTAAATTATCATTTCTTTCTTATAAATCTCTCTGATTATGGCTAGAATTGATTTTAATATAACGGACTCTACCGTAATTCGATTAATCTACGCGAAATATATAAATTCAACTTATTTTAGTTTACCATAGATCATCTCAATCACCTAGGTCATCTAGGTCACCTCTAACATGGTTATTCTTACATTCCGTTTTGACCATTTCACAATTACAGAACATCCTGACCTTAGAGGGTTTTTTCTCTCTACAGTATTCGGCGCATTGATCGCACATTTTGTCGAACAACGATATTGGCTCGCTCGTTTCTTCGACCTCTCTAGGATGTCTCTCATTATCCACCACATCTCTTCCGTCCTCTATGTTCATCTCTTCTGTTACTGGTTCTTCTATGTGCTCTTCTGTGTTCTCTTCTGTGTGACCCTCTTCTGGCTGGTTTTCATTCTCCATGGTTCTATGATTATCCCGCCTTTCCCGTCTGTGTGTGCTTAAATCTTCACTATACGGTGTTGTATTTTCCGCTATTGCATCTCTCCAATCTCCTGTGTCTTCTGCCGTGCCATGAAGAGCAGAGGGTGCAGGGAGTGATTCAGAGGCCGTTTCATTTGATTTACTAGACGCAGAGGTTTCATTGTAACAACTCACAAGATTTCCGTTCTCCGTTTTTGCCAACTGAATGTTGGAGAATAATTCCTCGTGAATATTACATAGGATTATTTTATCGAGAGGTGAATTGGCGATTACGTTGAGGATGTCATTCGCCAGCTCCTTCACTAAGAAATTGAGCCTCCAACTTTCGTAGAGGCGCATAGTGTTTGGGCTCAAGGGTGTGAAAGCTTCACAATAACATCCTAAGTTTGCTCCGAGGGATGATCTCAGAGCGAAACAATTAGCTTCCGAGGCAAATGTTAACTCGCGATTGCACAGTTTCAAGCAGTGGCTGGCAAGAACCCACGCCTGATGCTCTTCGGAGTCGGACTGGAGCTTGCAGTTCACCTTGGGATATCGAGGATATAGCTTCGGATCCCGCTCTCGTTCGGACTCGGTTTCTGCTCCGGGGTTGCAGATGAGAGCGCAGGCGTCCACCACGAGAGGCTGCGGCATGCTCGCGGCGCGGCCCACCAACGCCAACAGGAACACCCAACAGAACGTAGGCGTCATCTGAAAATGATGGCTAATCAATATTCTGAAGGGGATGTAGGATTCTGCGTTCCAAGCGAGTCGGGAGGGATAGGCGCATACACTGCCAAGAAGGAATTCCTGGAGTCTGACCGCACTCCCATATATATATCCGAGAAGGTTGAGACGAGAATCGGTAGGCCGTTGTGTAGGATAAAGACAAGGATAGAGACGGATAGAACAGTTTCATGTTGTGGGATTCTTGATATAATTAATGTTTGCCGACGTATGTCATGCGTATAATTTTAGAGGCGAATTATTTTATATGGAGCATCCCGATTTTGCAAATATTACTATAATAGAGAATAATTTCATTTTCTTTGTGTGTGAGAAATTGATATAAATATCGTTTTATATAAGATATCCTTAAAATTAATTAATCGCTAAACTATATAACGTTCTACTCACCTTGAAAGAGAGAGAAATACGATAAAAAATCCAGAAACACTTGTCTTCCCGAATTATAAGGCCTCTTATTTGCAGCAGAATTTTATAGAAATATTTAGAAAAATTATAATAGAGTGTGGTCTTAAGACAACTCTATCTTGATTTCGCTTCGAAAATTTTGTTGAAAGTGACTTTCTTCTACAGAGAAATATACACTTCACATCGACGTCTCAAACACAAATACCTATTCTGGCACACAGGCTGATGGTTTTATAGTTTCAATGTAAATAGTACCGTCTTTAGCGTTGACAGAGCCCGACGCAACAGTACATATATACGTGGCATTTTCTTTTCATTTATATCTATAGCGAATAATTTATTTTACATATATTCTTTAACCAGCAAGAGAAAAAGATTTCATATTGTTTCTAATTAAAACTCAATAGTCAAATCCTTTTACATACTAAATATAAAGCTACTATACAAGTACTAAGAATGAGATTGAAATATATTTTATATCACTCAAAGTATATTTTTTCTCTTTTATATTTATACAAATAATAAAGTTGAGTTTTATGTATATTTGTTTTGTTTAAAATGGTATGAATTAAATTGCTTGAACGAATTTGTCTGTAATTTTAACAGTAAATGTATGTATTATATATTATATATTATATATTTTTTCGCAGCTATATACTGCTAATATGTATATATATAATATGCTCAAAACAATGATTAAGTAATTATTAATTTTATATATTTATTTGAGACATTAATAGAAAATAGAATTTAATAGATACAAAATTTTATACAAGAGAAAAAATTGGGGTATATATATATAAAATTCTAATGAGATGGATGCAGCATATTTTTTTGATATATTATAAGGTATAACATTAATAATATTATATATATATTTTAACTCTGTCTCTCTCTCTCTCTTTCTCTCTTTATTTTATTCTAGGAGAAAAATTTTAGTTTGAACTCAGCGCCCCCGAGTTGGCGCCTAGTGCGAGAATAATTTTGTACAGCCCTAAAACCGTTACTCAATATCAATTCGACTTAGCTAATCATAACAAGTACTGTTATTGCTTGCTAACACAAAAAAAATGTCGATAGGTCGAAAAGACAACCGGAACACATTTGTTGATATATGAATATTCAAACGATACGTTAATACTTGAACGAAATAATAATTCCAAAAATGCTAAATTATTTATGTCATTAATAATTGTCTTAAAGTAACAATCGCAAAAATGCTAAACATTTCGATTTTCTTTCGCTTCAGGTTTTATTTAGTTGACAAATGAAATTATAAAAATACTATACATATATCCCAAAGACAATGCCTGTTATATTTCTGAAGAACTACAATCGCGTAACAATTTCTTAAAAGCATAAAACAGGAAATATTTACGCACTGCATCATGGTTATAATTGGCTCTTTTCTAATTATCGATTTTCCATATTGAAAATTTTTATTAATTTTATCTATATAAAAGAAATAAACATAAATATTTCTCTTTAACGTTGCTAGAGAGAATATTGTAAGAGAAATCTCTGATATAGATAAAAAGACAAAATAATTCGGAAAGAAAATTGTTTGAACAGATATTACAAATGTGTGTACATGAGAATTAATCAATCAGTAGAATAATGTCAATGATCTCGTAATAAATAGTAAGAAATACTTAACGATGTTTCAACTAAAATAACAAAACATTATTATTAATAATTAATTATATATATTTTGTAATTTATAATTGCAGTTTTATTATATATTTGTCTATGCATATCTCATACACTGATTCTGAGTTTAATTTTATCAATAATAACAAAATAAATTTATTACGTAAGCACATTTAGTAATGCAGATTAAATCGTGTCAGAAAAATTAATCTCTTTGAAGTTCTATTTTTTATTTCTTCCTTATTATAATATTCATTGACATTTATATCTTGAATTGCATAATTGTCAGATTAGTTTTGCTATATGTAAGGTAACAGATACCGGATAATTTAAATATAAGAAAATAGTGATAAAATGTAATAATGATGAAAAAATATTGATCTTTCTTAGATTTTTTTTTTTTTTATCTTTATTATAAATATTTCTTCAAATTCAATTGGCCTTTAAGGAAGTAGTTAAATTTCGAAAATTACAACGGTTATACAATCTTAACTTAAAATACTGCCAATAAAATATTTTGTTTAGAAAATAATATATTTTATTCGATACATGTATATTCTTATTTTTTCTAAAAATGATATAATTAGAGTTTGTAAATTTATAAATAAACAGATCAGTAAAATTAGGTGCGGCATAGAATATATTTTAAGACACGCGTGTATAGAATGATGGTAAAACAATAAAAATGATTAAAAGCGGCATTGATTAATTACAAAACAAAAATTTAATTTTTAACTATATAAAATTAAGTGTAATGGACTTTAGAAAATATAAAATTCAGTATTTAAAAAAGAAGAGTTGTTGTGATGTGCTTAATCACATTAAATATTGAAATATATTCTTGCATGAAAAAAAAGCTCTATAATGGAAAATAACAAAGATAGACCGATTAGTAAAATATTATCAACAAATTTTCAATAACAATATATGTTTACATAATAAATCTCTTTTCGAGCGCGGTGCAAAATGTCAATTTAATTTAAAGTTTCTCGGAAGATGAAGAATGGAAAGTTGTGTCAGCATCTTCGTAGCTAAGTTATCTTTCGTGAAGAAGACGGGAGTAGGAAGTAGATGGGTGGATGCGGGATCGATGCTATCCAACCGTAGTTCCATTAAATCGACCTACTCCTCTCTCCCTTCTTCTATCAGCCATAGTAAAATAACTTGGAACCCTGCTTAAAACAGTCACCTCAAGCTGATAGTTACCACTCGAGGAAACTTTATACTAAAGCTTTATAAACGACGATAACATTCTTCTTACTGATATGTCATGACAACCGGAATCTGTGCAAATCATAGTTATGTCATAAGTATTTGTCCGTCATTAAAAATTGATAATTGCAACTATTTGACCAAATTTCTATTTATAATAACGATGACCTTATGGTTCCGCAGAATCAGTTTCATG